ACATGCAATACTAAATGAAAAATCCTCAAAACTGTGACTAAATGAAATTCCTCCAGCTGACTATGGAGAGAGATTAAAAAATTAACAGGTGGCTGCTAGGACAGAAATGAATTGCTAAAGCTATTCCATAAACAGTGGTTGCCTAAATGTTCTGAGTCTTCTACCTTACTTTTCAGTCCCTTGGAGAGCATGAGACAAAGGCAAAAAACCCCAAGGACGATTAATTCTCCCAAATCTGTCTCTAGTAATGTCTATTCCAATCCCAGTACTGCAAATATTTTTTTCTTCAAAATTCCTCCAACGTCCCAAGAAAGGAAAAGTAAGAAAATGCACTTCCTAATCCAGGAAGTGATGATCTCGCAGCCAACCTTGTGGTATCTGGGAAGCTCTCGGAAATGTTTGACTGAGCCACATGTGATTATGAGCAGGCAACAGGCTCACTAGGTCATCATGTGCATAAAATTATTATCTCCTAGTGATGGAATAATGGTATTTCTGTACGCAAGCTAATTTGTTCTTAATTAAACAAACAAATAAAATTACTGTTGAATAGACAAGTAAGGATGGAGTATAAACACCTACAGTGTATGTCTGGAATATAACTGTGAGTCTGCTATTGAAAATACCAATACATCAAGTTTTCCATTATATCAACAACTAAAGTCAACAAAACTTCCAGTGACATCTGGTCCCAAAAAGCTTGACAAATCGCAACAATTTGTCATGGGGTGCATTTTAAGAACTTATTGAAGTACATTTTCCTATGGGAAAGTTGCTTACAAGCATGAACATGTTATTTAGAAAAGTCCGTAAAACAATGCATACCTTTGGAGCACTAAGGAAAGATATTTTTATGCAAACTTTTTCTGCTAGGTTTGTAAACAGGCACGAATGAGAACACATGATGAGTCAGGTAGCACATTCAGTGAAAATCCCATTGACAGATCCACCCATCCATATGGAAATGTAAGCTTCCATGACTAAGTATAATTTTCTTCCTGTATGTAATCCTTCTGTGTGGAAACAGATTTTGATGTGGTTTGCATTAAAAGAAGTGCTGGTTCCACCCAAATATGTTTTGTGGTGTTATTGACATTTGAAGAAACATCATGCTAATCTGAATATTTGAATCAGCTGCCTCTAGGATTAACTATTTCAATTTGGCTCTATTAAACATTTGATAACATTTTGGCAAATATATATCTTTATATATCTATATATCTATATATCTATATATCTATATATCTATATATCTATATATCTATATATCTATATATCTA